CGAAGTTCTCGTATTGTGTTTTTCAGCTCCTTTAATTCTTTCTTATTCCTCTCTAAGTTATCCATTCTTGTTATCATTTCCTCGAATCTTTTTTCAAATCTTTTTTCAAGGTTCTTAGTTTCTTTGCATTGATTTAATACATGATCTTTTAGCTCACAAAAGTTTCTCATTATCCATCTTCTGAAGTCTAATTCTGTCATTTCGTCACAGTCATTCTCCGTCCAGCTTTGTTCCCTTGCTGGTGAGGAGTTTTGGTCCTTTCTAGGAGGCGAGGTGTTCTGGTTTCGGGTGTTTTCCTTTTTTTTGCGCTGGTTTCTTCCCATCTTTGTGGATTTGTCCGCTGGTCATTTGTGTAGTTGCTGACTTTTCGATTGGGTCTCTGAGTGGACACCCGGAATGTTGATGATGAAGTATTTCTGTTGCTTGGTTTTCCTTCTACCAGTCTATCCCCTTTGCTGTACGACTGCTGAGGTTCGCTCCAGACCCTGCTTGTCTGGGCTGCACCTCTAGCAGCTGTGGCACAGCGAGGGATGCTACCAGTTTCTTTTTCTGCTATCTTTGTCCCAGGATGATGCCTGCCTAATGTCAGTCTTTTGGATATAGAGGGGTCAGGGAGCTGCTTGAGGAGACAGTTTGTACTTTATACGGGCTTAATTGCTGAGCTGTGCACTCTGTTGTTCATTCAGGGCTGTTAGGCTGCTATGTTTGATTCTGCTGCAACAGAGCGCATTAAAAAAAACCCCTTTTTTTTTTCTCAAATGATCTGTGTTGAGGGGTTTGGGCTTTATTTTTGGATGTTTGATGAGGTGTCCTGCCCAGCTAGAAGGCAGACTAGCCACTGTTTGGCTGCCGAGGCTCCGCCCTGCTGTTGTGTGATTCGCCCTGTTCCTGCAGGCTCTGCTGTGGTCTCTGCCACACCCTGCGGCGGAGTCTCTTCGTTGTAGCGTGTTGCCTCAGCAACGGCAGGCTGCGTCAGCAGTGGGCGTGTATCTCAGTAGGGACGGGTTGCCTCGGCAACGGCTGGCTGCGTCAGCAGTGGGCGTGTATCTCAGTTGGGGCGGGTTGCCTCGGTAGTGGTGGACGCCCCTCCCCCACAGAGCGTCTCGGACCGTCTGCTCGGGATAGTTTGAAATCGCGGTTTTGTTCGTCCCACTGGGTATCCCAAACGATCTGTCCCTGCAATCCCCTGGGCTGGGCTACTGTTCAAGTCTCGTTCAGTCTCAAGTCCAGCCCTCTCAAGTCTCAGGTTGCCGGTTCAACAGGGCACCCGGACAAGCGTGCCCTGTGGGGATTGCTGGGTAGGGCCGGCCGCCGCCACCCTGGCTGCCGGCTTCGCCAGGCAGACCTACTGCCTGGCGTCCCGTGTCTTTTTATATTTGGGAGTTTCCCCGTTCTGTGGGCAACAAAGATCAGTCTGTAAATGCAGCTCGGACTCACCGTTTGCGGATTCAACGCGAGCTCCAATCCTAGGTTGTTCTCACAGCGCCATCTTGAGTCCTCTCCTCCCCTTGTTTTATGTATTCTTGGAAAGTTTAGGTACCTTGGATCTTGGACAAGGGGCACATTGTTTTTATGAGTCAAATGGAGGGAGGCTGTAGGCTCAGATAATAATAAAAGGTGTTGCTCCTGTGTCAGTGCCTGTGGAATCTGTGCAAAGTCTGTGGATCGTGGAGCAGTTCTATGTGTAAGATTGTTGTGAGCATTTTAGGACATCTGAATTTCCCGTCCTCCTACTCATTAAATGTTAGTAACACATCCAGTCATGGTGACAGCCAAAAATGTGCCCCCAGATTTTCAACACAGCCCCTGAGGGACAGCACAGTCCCCATGGAGAACCATTGTTCCAGGTGACAGGGTCCATTCTCATGGATTTTAACACTCTAAGTGGATAATGTCCAAATTTGCATCTCCAGCTGGGACCCCTCTAACTGACCTTGTGTCATTGCCCTTGGATGTCCGAAATCCCCCTCTAATGTAACATGTCCAAAACTGAAATCTCAGTGCTTGCCTTTCCATCTGTCTCACACCCCAACCAAACCTGCTCCCCATGAATCTTCCTGTTTGTGTAAACAGCAACTCCATTCTTTCGGTTGCCCAGGCATCACCCTCAAACCCTCCTTTTCTCACGTCCCGTAGTCCATCAGTGAAATGGCATCACTGATGATCTCCGTAGCCACCTAAAAATATGTATTAACTCTGGCTGGGCATGGTGGCTTATGCCTGTAATCCCAGCACTTTGGGAAGCCAAGGCAGGCAGGTCACCTGAGGTTGGAAGTTCGAGACCAGCCTGACCAACGTGGAGAAACCCTACCTTTACTAAAAATATAAAATTAGCCAGATGTGGTGATGCATGCCTGTAATCCCAGCTACTCAGGAGGCTGAGGCAGGAGAATCAGTTGAACCCTGGATGTGGAGGTTGTGGTGAGCTGAGATCATGCCATTGCACTCCAGCCTGGTGACAAGAGCGAAACTCCATCTCAAAACAAAACAAAAAAATATGTGTTAACTCCAACCAATTCCCACTGCCTCCCTTGTGACCAGTTGGATCATGCCGCCACCCTTCTGTGTCCTTGTCCTGGTTCTTGAAATACCTGAGTCATGTCACTTCTCTGCTCTCCCTGTTCACTCAGAGTAAAAAGCAAAGTCCTTGAAATGGCCAGTGATGCCCTCAAGGCCCAACACTGTCCCCTCCCTCTCAGATGTGGCCTCACTCCTCTGTGCCTTGGCTCCTGGAGCTCTAACCACATGGTCTGCCGGTGTCTGGTGACAGCTGTCTCTTAGATATACCAGGCACTACAAAGAACTCAAACAGATTTACAGGAAAAAAACAAACAAGCCCATTCAAAAATGGGCAAAGGATATGAACAGACACTTTACAAAAGAAGACATACATGAGGCCAACAAACATATGAAAAAATGCTCATCATCCCTGGTCATTAGAGAGATGCAAATCAAAACCACATTGAGTTACCATCTCATACCAGTTAGAATGGCGATCATTAAAAAATCTGGAGACAACAGATGCTGGAGAGGATGTGGAGAAATAGGAACACTTTTACACTGTTGGTGGGATTGTAAATTAGTCCATCCATTGTGGAAGACAGTGTGGTGATTCCTCAAGGCCTTAGAAATTGAAATTCCATTTGACCCAGCAATCCCATTACTGGGTATATATCCACAGGACTATAGATCATTCTACTATAAGGACACATGCACACGAATGTTCATTGCAGCACTGTTTACAATAGCAAAGACCTGGAATCAACCCAAATGCCCATCGATAATAGACTGGATTGGGAAAATGTGGCACATATACACCATGGAATATTATGCAGCAATCAAAAATGATGAGTTCGTGTCGTTTGTGGGGACATGGATGAATCTGGAGAACATCATCCTCAGCAATCTGACACAAGAACAGAAAATGAAACACCGCATATTCTCACTCATAGGCGGGTGATGAAAAATGAGAACACATGGACACAGGGAGGGGAGTACTACACACCGGGGTCTATTGGGGGAAATAGGGGAGGGACAGCGGGGGGTGGGAGCTGGGGAGGGATAGCCTGGGGAGAAATGCCAAACGTGAGTAAAGGGGAGGAAGGCAGCAAAACACACTGCCGTGTGTGTACCTATGCAACTATCTTGCATGTTCTGCACATGTACCCCAAAACCTAAAATGCAATTTAAAAAAGAAAAGATATACCAGGTGCAGTCCTGCGGCAGTGTGTTTGCGTTTGCTGCTCCCTCTGCCTGGAAGGCACCTGATACCTCTACAGGAAGTGCCCTTGACCTCCATCCTCCTCCTCCTCCTGCCTTGTTTTCCCTCTCAGCTCTTGATGCCATTGTACACCCTGCTTATTTAGGGTCTGTCTTTCCACTGGTGGAAATAAGCCCCCTTGGGGCAGGGACTGTGTACTTTCTTTTTTGTCCTCAGCTCTGTCCCTAGTGCTTAGAAGAGCATCTGCTACCTGATAGACACTCAGTATTTACTTTTCTGCTGTGAAGCTGCAGGCAAGCTGTGTAGCTGTTCTGAGCTTTTGCTTCCTTGTCTTTGAGATGAAGACAAGGAGTCTTACCTTTGCCACAGGAATAAATGCAGGTGAAGCATCCTACGTATAATTTTATTATTCTATTATTCTAGATTCAACCATCATTTCCATTATTTTTGTTTTCATTATCTTCAACCCAATAGCACATTTTAAACTTAGAGTTTTATGTTTATTATTATTTTTTCTGTATCCAATAAGCAACATACAAATTTAGACTTCTAAATGAATACAATACATTCCACAATAATAGACCATTAGAGCTTGTGGAATATGGAAATATTTTTAAAAGCAGTGTTTAAGGCCTCGGCCAGGCAGGGTGGCTCATACCTATAATCCCAGCACTTTGGGAAGCTGAGGTGGGTGGATCACCTGAGGTCAGGAGTCTAAGACCAGCCTGACCAACATGGTGTAACCCTGTCTCTACTAAAAAAAAAAAAAAAAAAAAATTAACCTTAGCTAGGCATGGTGGCATATGCCTGTAGTCCTAGCTATTTGGGAGGCTGAGACAGGAGAATTACTTGAACCTGGGAGGCAGAGGTTGCAGTAAGCCGAGGTCATGCCACTGCACTCCAGCCTGGGTGACATAGTGAGGCTCTCTCTCAGTAAAATCAAATAAAATAAGACCTGAAGCATAGGAGTGTTTCTAAAGACAATGAATGAGATGCTGGCCACTTCTGCCATCAATAGGTTCATGTTTTGGAAACTTGTTCCACAGGGGAAATATCAGGGAAAAGCAAATATAGTCATTCCTTGGTATCCTTGAAGGATTGGTTCCAGGATCCACTGTGGATACCAAAATGCATGGATAATCAAGTCCCTGATATAAAGGGTGTTTGTATATAGCCTGCACACATTCTGCTGAATACTTTAAGTCATCTCTAGATTGCCTATAATACCTCATACAATGTAACTGCCATATACATAGTTGTTATATCATTTTAAATTTTTTATTGTTGCATTGTTAATTTTTTAAATAATTTTTCTGTACTTGGTACTGTGCATATATTAGGGGCCTTCTGCTCTCCTTCCTGATTCCTGTCCTCTCCAGGCCTGATTCTGTGAAGGAGAATGATAGGACTTGAGGGAAGGAGCAGCAGAGAGAAATGTAGCCCACCTGACCCTTTCCAGCCCTTGTTCTGTTCCTCTGATTTGACCTTCTTCTTTCCACCTATGGTATGGGAAGAAGAAAAAGACTATATAAGAATTTGGAGAACAGAAGAGAAAAAGGGGAAATGGTGGTGGACAAAAAAAGCAAGTAACCCCGCCCCACCCCCAATATTTTACTATGAGAATTTGTAAGCACACAGGGAGGTTCTGCAGCAGTACAGGGGATCCTCCAGCAGACACCAAGGACCACCACCCAGATTCTACAGCCGGCATCTCGCTATATTTGCTTTATAAAATGAATAGATAGGGTTTCACTGGTCAAAACAGGAAAACTGAGACAAATCCACCCAAAGTAGAACTAAATGCCTGACTTTCTTTTTTTAATTTTAATTTTTATAAAATTGTATTTTACGTTCTGGAATACATGTGCAGAATGTACAGGTTTGTTACATAGTATACATGTGCCATGGTGGTTTGCTGCATCTATCAAACGGTCATCTAGGTTTGAAGCTCCGCATTCATTAGCTATTTGTCCTAATGTTCTCCCTCCCCTTGCCCCCAACCCACCAACAGACTTGGGTGTGTGATGTTCCCCCCCGTGTCTATGTGTTCTTATTGTTCAATGAGACTTGGGTGTGTGATGTTCCCCCCTGTGTCTATTGTTCTTATTGTTCAATGTTCTTATTGTTTGATGAGTGAGAACATGTGGTGTTTGGTTTTCTGTTCCTGTGTTAGTTTTCTGGGAATGATGGCTTCCAGCTTCGTCTATGTCCCTACAAAGGACATGAATGCATCTTTTTTTATGGCTGCATAGTATTTCATGGTATATATGTGCCATATTTTCTTTATCCAGTCTGTCATTGATGGGCATTTCTGTTGGTTCCAAGTTTTACTATTGTAAATCATGCTGCAGTAAACATACATGTGCATGTGTCTTTGTAATAGAATGATTTCTATTCCTTTGGGTATATACCCAGTAATGGGATTGCTGGGTCAAATGGTATTTCTGGTTCTAGGTCCTTGAGGAATTGCCACACTGTCTTCCACAGTGGTGGAACTAATTTACACTTCCATAGGAACACAGTGTAAAAGTGTTCCTGTTTCTCCACAGCCTCACCAGCATCTGTTGTTGTTCTTTTTTTAAAGGGATGATAACCATTCTATCTGGCGTGAGATGGTATCTCTTTGTGGTTTTGATTTGCATTTCTCTAATGACCACAGGTGATGAGTTTTTTTTCATATGTTTGTTGGCTGCATAAATGTCTTCTTTTGAGAAATGTCTGAATACCTGAGTTTCAATATTGGCCTGAACTGAAGGAGCAGTGAAAGAAAGGGTGGGAGATGGGGGCACAGGAGCTCAGGGAGGGTGCAGACACTCCTATAAATCCTCCTTATGGTGTCCGAGCACAGCCCAGAAAGAAGAGTACCTGCAGCACTCCGGTTGACAAAGGCTGCCCATCCTGGCCATTTGTGAGGCCCAGATCTATTAGGGCTTTCTTCGTTGCGATGACGAAATGTTTACTTGAGCTTGCCTCAGCAGAAAAGGAATGTGTTGAGCAGATCCTCAGGTTCCCATGTCACTATGAGTGGGACACAGGTGCATTTTAACAAACCCTTCCCATGACTTTGATGTCTGCTTCAGTTTGAGAAGCACTGTCTAATCATAATATGCTACCCACGGCTAACGACCAGATTATGTTATGTCTGATGATTTTAGAGCTATGGATTCTTTTCAGCATCTTTGTGGAATTGAGAGGAATTTCTTAGTCACTTTAATCTGTGAGGTAGTTAAACTTTTTCCTTTTATACGCTTTCTTATACAGGTGGTTGTCAGTTTAAACATCAGTGAAACTGTTAGTGAAGATACTTACTAGACAGCAAAGCAACGCTGAAGCGCACACCTTCATAGGATCTTCTAGCGCAGCCAGAAATCTCAAGTGGTGCCGTGGCCAGGAAACAAAACCAAAAAATGCAGTGGCGAATAGAGACAGAGCGAGAATTAGTAACTGACACTGGTAGCTTTCCCTTTGATGTTGCATCCAAAAACCAGTGACAGAGTAAGAGTAGCTTCCTTCAGCTGTTTGTTTTGAAGGACATGTGGGATCAGTTTTTTGTCTTTATGTCCTACCCCCAGGAAACCTTCTAAGCTACCAGTCTTTTTCAAATGGAATTCCTTGTGGAAGATGCAGGGGAGATGAAGTGCGCCACTTGAAAGCTTTGCTGCTACCCAAACTCTAGGCCAAATGGCAGGGAGGTGGCACAGCATGGCCTACAGCACATCATACTTACCCTGTTGCCTGGGAAGGAGAAAACCACATCTACCCACAGTGCAGTCAAATCCCACAGTCTAAGAGGAGACAGAGTCAGCTGGGTGTGGCCGGCTCACAAAATGCAACACAGTAGCTGAGTAAAATGTATATTATCCCTAGCTGTGCCTGGTGCATCAGAGGCAGGCACACTATACATTTTTACTGGATATTGTTCTTGGATGAATTTACCAGAAGAGGAGCCTGAGGTTCAGGGAGGTTAATGACTTGCTTGATGTTCTGTTGTAGCCTCTGGAACCCCACTGCATTGCATTCATCTTTTCCTAAAAACACTCCCCTCCTTCTTCCTCCTCCTCACCTTAATTTGAATTTAGTTTTTATAGGATAACAATAGTAAAAGCAATAATGATGATTTTCATTTGTTATTGTTATAGCTGGTGTCTGTTGAATGTATACTGTGTCAGATACTGTTATCCTAAGCACATTACATGGCTAACTTGTTTAATCCTCAGAGCGACTCTCTGCAGAGGGTACCATGATTATACTTACTTTTTAGATGAAGAAACCAAAGCACAGAGAGGTGACATGATTTGCCCAAGGTCACACAGCCAAGCACTGGCAGAACCAGGATTCACACCCAGGTGGTCTATATTTTGAGCTCTTGGCCACTAAACTGTGCTGCCATGTGACATGGCTTTTGTCCCAACTCCTGTGACATAGGATGGGGGCCTCCTGGCTCCTGTTGGTCTTCAGCCTGATGGTGCTATGGAAAACACCCACCCCTCCAGAATGCCTCATTGCCCTCTCTGCCTGAGAAAAACCGAATCATGGCCTCTGCGGCGAGGTCTTTGGACTCCCCCAGCCCCTCCTGAGCTTTCTGCACATTCGTTTCTCTGCAGCTTAATGCTGTCCTCATTGTGTTCTGTGTGGTTGTATGGGAACCTCTGTAGGTGGTTAACCCCAAGTGACAGGGTCTCCTGATTCACTTTGGCATTCAAGCCATATACAAAGTGTACAGATCTACTAAGAGGACATGGGCTAAAGATGTACATCCAGCTGCTAGTGGGTTTTTGGTAAAGCTTAGCTGAATTATAGTGTCCAGGATGGAAGGGATAGGAATGGGCCTTCTGTGGACAGGCCCGACAGAAGCAGCCCTGGCACCATGAAAAGAAGGATGGGAAGTTTCTGGAGCCGTTTCTTCTGCCAGTCCTCTCCTCCCTCTCCCACATACATGCGGAGGGCCGCTGCAGGCTCCCTAGGAGCACGGCATCCCAGGAGGCATGCTCCCCCACCCCCAGGGCCTCCGCATCGCTGGCCCACTTCCTCCTGGCACTGAAATCTGGACTTTTATCTCACTGCAGGATTCACTGAAAGGCTGATGGATAACTGGAAACCCCTTCAACCTTTACGGCTCACTAGGTGGCCCCATATTCTAAGGGCTCTTCGCTGTGGGTGAGGTGGCTGGAGAAGGGGAGAGCAGAAGGGGGCAAGGAAGGAAGCCCCACCCTCTGCTCAGGACCCGCTGTTCATATTCTTTTCCATGTGAAATGTTGCTTCATCCAGGCCCTAGGTTATGAGTAGTGGCATTTCCATGTTTGCGGAATGAATTTAAATCTGTTTTAGGATCAGTAGTCAAAAATCAGTGTGTTTGAAGTGGAGGTTACGATCAGTTGGTTAGTCCAATATTTGGCAATTACCACAGGGCCCTTAATGGTGCGGTTTTTCTGATGTGAGGAGGGTCAAGAAGCAGGCACTACGTGTACTGAGCAGAAGGGGTGATGAGTACAGTCAGTGCAGAATTGTGAAGGCATCAGCACATTCCTTCTTCAACTAATCAGCCCAGAGAGCATGGGGAATTTTTGTATTCTCTGCTATTTGTGCTCTGAGTACATGTGCACAATATGCAGTGACACTGATCGATAAATTCTTTAAGCCTAATAAGCATACATATGCAGTCTCATAGCAATGAAGACATACACAGGGAGAAGGATCTTAGGTGATTCAAATTCTTCTCTTTTGTGGGCAGGCACGGCAGCTCATGCTTGTAATCCCAGCACTTTGGGAGGCCAACGCAGGTGGCTTAGCTGCGGTTGGGAGTTTGAGACCGGTCTGGCCAACATGGAGAAACTCTGCCTCTACTAAAAATACAAAAACTAGCTGGGTGTGGTAGCACGTGCCTGTAATCCCAGATACTCAGGAGGCTGAGGCAGGAGAATTTCTCAAATCCAGGAGGCAGAGGTTGCATGAGCCAAGATTGTGCCACTGCACTCCAGCCTGGGTGTCAAAGTGAGACTCTGTCTCAAAATAAAATAAATACTTATCTTTTGGAGGTGAGGAAACTGAGCCTCTAGATCATACTTTCCCAGGGCCCCATGGCTCACAAATTGCCTGATTCCTAATACAGCATAATACTTCATGGCCTCCTTCCAAAGTTTTATTTGTAAATCTAAAAATCTAAAGATGCTTCTGTTGCTACCAGCCTGGAGAACCACTATGGAGGGGCACTAGGAAAACAGCTGCAATCATGAGGATGAAGATGATGATGAGAGCTGCCAACATTTATATTCTTAATCAAATGCTTTAAATTCTTAACTAAGGGCACAATCCTAAAAGTATACCAATTGTGCTCCCCCCCCCCTCTCTCTCTCTCTTTGGTTTGCAATGATGTGATCATGGCTCACTTTAGCCTCGAACTCAAGTGATCCTCCCACCTCTGCCTCCTAAGTAGTGGGGACAACAGGCAAACACCACCACACCCCACTAATTTTTTAGAAAGGTTATTTATAGAAAGGGAGTCTTATTGTGTTCCTCAGGCTGGTCTTGAACTCCTGACCTAAGAGATTCTCTTGCCTTGGCCTCAAAATGTTTTCTCCATTTTAGAATTGAGGAACTGCAGCATCGGTCCCCAGGTCACACAGGTAGGAAGAAGTAGCACCACTCCCTTCACTGCTCCCTGGGCTGCCTCCTGCCTATGTGATTGCTGGGAACCTCCTCTACAGAGATCCCAGACAACAAGTCCTCTTTCACATCTCCTACTCCCTCCCCACCCTTGAAAACAAAAACAAACCCTGAGATACAGCACTTACTAACTGCTAACTCCGCACCAGAAGCTGTCTAGCCCTGAGCCTGGTGCTGCACCTACCTGTGTGTTCCCCTGTCACTGCTGCTGTTTCACACCTGTTCTTTTTTTTTTTTTGAGACAGAGTTTCACTCTTCTTACCCAGGCTGGAGTGCAATGGCTTGATCTCGGCTCACCACAACCTCCGCCTCCTGGGTTCAAGCCATTCTCCTGCCTCAGCCTCCCGAGTAGCTGGGACTACAGGTGCGCACCACCATGCCCAGCTAATTTTTGTATTTTTAGTAGAGACAGTGTTTCACCTTGTTGACCAGGATGGTCTCGATCTCTTGACCTTGTGATCCACCCACCTCGGCCTCCCAAAGTGCTGGGATTATAGGCGTGAGCCACCGATCCCGGCCCACCCCTGTTCTTATCATTACTGGTGCCATCTCTGTTGCCTTGCCAGGTCCTCTTGTAGTGCCCCAAGGGCAAAACTCCCACTGCTTGCCCACTGCTGTCCGGTGTTGCCTCCAGCTGTCATCTTACCAAGACCTTGAGTCCCAGGAACCAACCCCTTGTGGAAGGGGGCAGGTCAAACGCTACCTATGCTGCTCTGGGGTGGTGGTGGCTGGGGGTGGAGGCTGTGGTGTGATCTTCAAGGGGGTTTCACTTCTGTTCCCAGTAGGAGAGCTCTCATCTGTTGGATTTCCCGGTTTATTCTAGGTTGCAGAGGAGTTCTTCCTTTCTTGGCCTCTGCCATAGAGTTTGATAATTCTGTACTTTGAGTCAGACTTGCAGATTTTAATGTCAGAGAACCAGATAGGGGAAAAGCAGAACCCAATGTGTATGGCTTGCATTATTGCATTCAGAGTTCCCTTAACCACCATGATTTCCCTTTTTCATTTGTGATGTCATCTAGGGAGTTTTCAAAGTTCCAAACAAGAATTGATTTTCTTTTGGGGAACCAGGAAGCTACCTGAGTGTGCTTCTTGGAAGAGTGAGTAATAGTTTTTCTCTCTTGAGAAAAAGCTGCCAACATTATAGGCTACGGTCATTTATTATTTGACATATATTATACAGGTGACCTGATAGATGGTTTGAGAGGCTGGAGAGCTTTAGTGAAGGGATGCTTTTTTCTCTGAGATGGCAAGTAGAAAGATAATTACAGAGTTCCTCTAAGAAGGGCAGTAGTATAATTTCTGTGTCAACCTAAGTATGATGTTTGGTCCATGATATGTTTTGACTGTGTCCCTACCCAAATTTCATATTGAATTGTAGCTCCCATAATTCTCATGTGTCGTGGGAGGGATCTGGCAGGAGGTAATTGAATCATGCTGTTCTTGTGATAGTGAATAAGTCTCAGAGGTCTGATGGTTTTATAAAGGGGAGTTCTTGCCTGCCAAGAAAAAAGTGTGACTTTGCTCCTCCTTTGCCTTCCACCATGATTGTGAGGCCTCTCTAGCTATGTGGAACTGTAATTTAACTAAACCTTTTTCCTTTGTAACTTACCAAGCCTTGGGTATGTCTTTATTAGCAGCATGAGAACGGACTAATACAGTCCAGTTGCTAGATTAGGGGACTGTGCTGTTGTTCAGAAAATGTGATCACAGGCCGGGTGTGGTGGCTCATGCCTATAATCCTAGCACTTCAGGAGGCCGAGGCAGGTGAATCACCTGAGATCGGGAGTTTGAGACTGGCCCGGGCAACATGGTGAAACCCTGTCTCTACTAAAGTTACAAAAATTATCTGGGCGTGATGGCAGGTGCCTGTAATCCCAGCTACTTGGGAGGCTGAGGCATGAGAATCGCTTGAACCCGGGAGGCAGAGGTTGCAGCGAGCCAATATCCTGCCATGGCACTCCAGCCTGGGTGACAGAGTGAGACTCTGTCTCAAAATAAAAAAAGAAAAGAAAATGTGATCATGCTGATATCTAGTAATTGGAGTTGCACATAACTCATCCTTTTAATGTGAATTATTTGTTTTTAAAGTTAATAATTTGTTTTAAAATCTTGACCAAGATCACCTGCCTAATATTAAGACATCTACCATGAGGCTGGGAGTGATGGCTCACACCTGTAATACCAGCATTTTAGGAGACTGAGGTGGAAGGATTGCTTGAGGCCAGGCGTTCAAGACCAGCCTGGGTAACATAGTGAAATCCTATCTCTTTTTTTTGTTTTTAGATAGAGTCTTGCTGTCTCACAGGCTACAGTGCAGTGACACAATCTTAGCTCACTGCAACCTCCATCTTTCAGGTTCAAGCGATTCTCCTGCCTCAGCCTCCTGAGTAGCTGGGATTACAGGCATGTGCCCCCACACCCAGCTAATTTTTGTGTTTTTCCTAGAAATAGGGTTTTGCCATGTTGACCAGGCTCATCTCGAACTCCTGACCTCAGGTGATCTGCCTGCCGAGGCCTCCCTAAGAGCTAGGATTACAGACGTGAGCCACCTCACCTGGCCATGAGATCCCATCTCTACAAAAAAATTTTTTTAATTAGCCAGACATTGTGTTGTACACCTGTAGTCTTAGCTATTTGGGAGGCTGATTTGGGAAGATCCCTTGAGCCTGGGAGTTCAAGGCTGTAGTGAGCCTTGATTGAGCTACTGCATTCCTGCCTGGGTAACAGAGCAAGACCCTGTCTCCAAAAAAAAAAAAAAAAAAAAAAATTCTACCCTCATCCCTGATGTTAAAAGGCAATGGCAAGTTACTGATTAATGAGTAGACTTTATTATGCTTATTTTAGCACAGTAAAGTTCTAAAAATTATTTTAAAAAAAGAAAAAACCCAGAAGATTGGTATCTGCAGGAGCAGAACTAGGACTTTCCCCAAATTGCAAACTTCCTTCACCCCAATTTTTTTCTGTTTTAATGAAGCACAGCATATTTACAATAAAGTCCATAAAGTACACTAATCTTTTTTTTTTTAATTTTTTATTGGATTTTAGGTTTTGGGGTACATGAGCAGAGCATGCAAGACAGTTGCGTAGGTACACACATGGCAGTGTGCTTTGCTTTCCTCCTCCCCTTCACCCACATTTGGCATTTCTCCCCAGGCTATCCCTCCCCACCGCCCCTCCCACTGGTCCTCCCCTTTTCCCCCCAATAGACCCCAGTGTTTAGTACTCCCCTTTCTGTGTCCATGTGTTCTCATTTTTCATCACCCGCCTATGAGTGAGAATATGCGGTGTTTCGTTTTCTGTTCTTGTGTCAGTTTGCTGAGGATGCTGTTCTCCAGATTCATCCATGTCCCTACAACCGACACAAACTCATCATTTCTGATTGCTGCATAATATTCCATGGTGTATATGTGCCACATTTTTCCAATCCAGTCTATTATCAATGGGCATTTGGCTTGACTCCAGGTCTTTGCTATTGTAAACAGTGCTGCAGTGAACATTCGTGTGCATGTGTCCTTATAGTAGAACGATTTATAGTCCTTTGGATATATACCCAGTAATGGGATTGCTGGTCAAATGGAATTTCTATTTCTAAGGCCTTGAGGAATCGCCACACTGTCTTCCACAATGGTTGAACTAATTTACACTCCCACCAACAGTGTAAAAGTGTTCCTTTTTCTCCACATCCTCTCCAGCATCTGTTGTCTCCAGATTTTTTAATGATCGCCATTCTAACTGGCGTGAGATGGTATCTCAATGTGGTTTTGATTTGCATCTCTCTGATGACCAGTGACGAAGAGCATTTTTTCATATGACTGTTGGCCTCATATATGTCTTCTTTCGTAAAGTGTCTGTTCATGTCCTTTGCCCACTTTTGAATGGGCTTGTTTTTTTCCTGTAAATCTGTTTGAGTTCTTTGTAAATTCTGGATATCAGCCCTTTGTCAGATGGGTAAACTGCAAAAATTTTTTCCCATTCTGTTGGTTGCCGATTCACTCTAGTGACTGTTTCTTTTGCCCTGCAGAAGCTGTGGAGTTTCATTAGGTCCCATTTGTCTACTTTGGCTTTTGTTGCCAATGCTTTTGGTGTTTTGTTCATGAAGTCCTTGCCTACTCCTATGTCCTGGATAGTTTTGCCTAGATTTCCTTCTAGGGTTTTTATGGTGCCAGGTCTTATGTTTAAGTCTTTAATCCATCTGGAGTTAATTTTAGTGTAAGGTGTCAGGAAGGGGTCCAGTTTCTGCTTTCTGCACATGGCTAGCCAGTTTTCCCAACACCATTTGTTAAACAGGGAATCCTTTCCCCATTGCTTGTTTTTGTCTGGTTTATCACAGATTGTATAGTTGTAGATATGTTGTGTTGCCTCCGGTGCCTCTGTTGTGTTCCATTGGTCTATATCTCTGTTTTGGTACCAGTACCATGCTGTTTTGATTACTGTAGCCTTGTAGTATAGTTTGAAATCCGGTAGTGTGATGCCCCCCGCTGTGTTCTTTTTGCTTAGAATTGACTTGGCTATGCGGGCTCTCTTTTGGTTCCATATGAAGTTCATGGTGGTTTTTTCCAGTTCTGTGAAGAAAGTCAATGGTAGCTTGATGGGGATAGCGTTGATTCTGTAAATTACTTTGGGCAGTATAGCCATTTTCACAATATTAATTATTCCTAACCATGAATATGGAATGTTTCTCCATCTGTTTGTGTCCTCTCTGATTTCATTGAGCAGTGGTTTGTAGTTCTCCTTGAAGAGGTCCCTTACGTTCCTTGTGAGTTGTATTCCAAGGTATTTTATTCTTTTTGTAGCAATTGTGAATGGCAGTTCGTTCTTGATTTGGCTTTCTTTAAGTCTGTTATTGGTGTAGAGGAATGCTTGTGATTTTTGCACATTGATTTTATATCCTGAGACTTTGCTGAAGTAGCTTATCAGTTTCAGGAGTTTTTGGGCTGAGGCGATGGGGTCTTCTAGGTATACTATCATGTCATCTGCAAATAGAGACAATTTGGCTTCCGCCTTTCCTATTTGAATACCCTTTATTTCTTTTTCTTGCCTGATTGCTCTGGCTAGAACTTCCAGTACTATATTGAATAGGAGTGGTGAAAGAGGGCATCCTTGTCTAGTGCCAGATTTCAAAGGGAATGCTTCCAGTTTCTGCCCATTCAGTATGATATTGGCTGTTGGTTTGTCATAAATAGCTTTTATTACTTTGAGATACGTTCCATCGATACCGAGTTTATCGAGGGTTTTTAGCATAAAGGGCTGTTGAATTTTGTCAAATGCCTTCTCTGCGTCAATTGAGATAATCATGTGGTTTTTGTTTTTGGTTCTGTTTATGTGGTGAATTATGTTTATAGACTTGCGTATGTGGAACCAGCCTTGCATCCCCGGGATGAATCCTACTTGATCATGATGAATAAGTTTTTTGATTTGCTGTTGCAATCGGCTTGCCAGTATTTTATTGAAGATTTTTGCATCTATGTTCATCATGGATATTGGTCTGAAGTTTTCTTTTCTTGTTGGGTCTCTGCCAGGTTTTGGTATCAAAATGATGTTGGTCTTGTAAAATGATTTGGGAAGGATTCCCTCTTTTTGGATTGTTTGAAATAGTTTTAGAAGGAGTGGTACCAGCTCCTCTTTGTGTGTCTGGTAGAAATCGGCTGTGAACCCGTCTGGACCTGGGCTTTTTTTGAGTGGTAGGCTCTTAATTGCTGTCTCGACTTCTGACCTTGTTACTGGTCTATTCATAGTTTCAGCTTCCTCCTGGTTTAGGCTTGGGAGGACACAGGAGTCCAGGAATTTATCCATTTCTTCCAGGTTCACTAGTTTATGTGCATAGAGTTGTTTGTAATATTCTCTGATGATGGTTTGAATTTCTGTGGAATCTGTGGTGATTTCCCCTTTATCATTTTTTATTGCATCTATTTGGTTGTTCTCTCTTTTCTTTTTAATCAATCTGGCTAGTGGTCTGTCTATTTTGTCGATCTTTTCAAAA